GACACTTTCCTGTTTCCCATAAATGTTTGATTCCTTTGAAAAACAGGCAGCTTAACAAAATTAAATAACATGGAGACAAATACTCAAAGACCTAGAATTTTTAATCAAAGGAAGTCTAGTACACCAAGCTTCAATTGCAAATTTTTAGGCTCTTTCCAAATTCTAGCTAATCTTCTGATCTCACTGAATATTTACATAAATCATTTCTCACATAGTTAAACCATGACATTGTGAACACAGGGATTTTACCTAATAGTTTATTGATCAAAGAAACCTTGCAAATAAAAGAAATGCAGGCATACTACTAAAGCTCTACTATATGCGCACCATGATTTGGTAAGTAGCAATATTTTCGGGGGACTAATACAGGTCTGCTGGAGCTGAAGACAGAAGGAAGGACACTGAAAAGAGCATAGGAAAGTGATCCAATCAGTGACAGTTTCTAGGATGTACATACCCATTGTCTAGTCTGTTGGCAGACAGTTAAGTTAAAAGAAGAGGTTACTGCATACCAAATATAAACTAATGTCTCAACAAGAAATGTTTGTCCTGAACTGTATAGAGAAAATAATATCTCAAATTAAGCACAAGTCAATTTTCAGTGTCTTCTGCTCAGAATCTAAACCAGCAAGTAAAACCATAATGTGAATTGTCTTATTCATTCAAATCACTAAAAAAATATAGAGATTACCCCCCAAAGCACTGCTCTACATCATTCAAGTTGAACCCTTAGTCTCTTAGTATTAAATGACAGCTTGCTCAGATTTTTTGATGTGTTATTTTTCATATAACAAAATATCCTATAAAACACAGGGTATACAAATATATAGCAAGCTAAAAAATGAGTCAATAATATCATTAAGTTCTAAAACCCAGAAGTCATACTTCTGGGATTTCAATCCTAATTGGTAGCAGCGCACCTGTCACCACCACTACTAACTATGATACACATGTGGATGATCAGCTCTAAAATAACTGGAGAGTAGTCCTGAGAAGACGGGCATATCTCCAGTCATGAGGACCACAAGGAGAATCCAATTCTGAATCATTATAAATAACAGATTAACAACTAAACCTTTTGTATCATAAAATTATTCATATTTACCACACATACATTTAAGACTCTCTAAATGAGGAAAAGAAGTAGTATCAGCATTAAAGAATTTTGCTTGCAATTTTAATAGAGAAAAAATAACTATGAATATGAAACTATCTTATAGAAAACTTGGAGAAAATAGACACATCAAATGGTTTAGGAGTTGGGAGAAAGCTTCAAGGACATACAATTTAATAGATACTAACATAATAACTTTGACAGAAAATTTGTATATCATACTTTACAGGACACAGCATCCTGGAACGTTGGATGCTAGTAATACATGATGAAAGACATATTTCTAACTTATATTATTACTGGTTTTTAATGACTAACATTTTGGATGTGTTATTTTTGTACCTAGCCTTTCTATCAAAGAGAAAATAACATAAATGAGAACGAAGGTCCTAGTAGAGCTGTACTTTTTTTAACAGAATACTTGTGGAGAATTAAAGTTGATTATATAATACAAACAACCTCAATGAAGTTATCTATTGTCTCAAGTTTTGGTGTGAGTTTAAATAAACATACCTTTCTAAGGAATTTTTAGTGCATATGAGTCAACATAATCAGGTAAGACAAAAAGTTAAGCTTACTGGCAAGTAACCTAACTGTAGAGTTTTTACTGGTTTTTGTTAAGAATGAAAATGCAAGAAATCATAGTATTAGCCTACAGTATCTGAAGAAAAAAACAGAGCTAACAGCAAGTTCATCTACAGTGAAAAAAAAAATCAAGTACTTTGTTAGAAATTGGGAAGGAACAAAGGTTACCCCAATCCTTGAATATATCTTATTTGTCACTCTTTGATGATTTTTCAGGTAGAAATAACTAGTATATTTCTAATGTTCTTTAAATCTAGGCAAAGTCAAAAAGTAAATGTTTTTATATCAAGATAAAAAATCATAGAAATCTCGTAGAAATATAAAGTTTAGCTTACATCTAGTTAACTGCCCATCGTTGATACACATATATTCCAAAAAGTCTGTCATGTTAACAATGAAATTTAGTATATATGTGGTAATTAAAAATAATTTGTAAGCCAGGCTCGGTGGCTCAGCCTGTAATCCCAGCGCTTTGGGAGGCTGAGGTGAGTGGACTGCCTGAGCCCTGGGCAACTTTGCGAAACCTCATCTCTACAATAAATCAAAAATTAGCTGGGCGTGGTAGCATGCACCTGTAATTCCAGCTACTCAGAAGGCTGAGGTGAAAGGATCGCCGGAGCCCAGCAGGTCGAGGCTGCAGTGGCCAGGAGCATGCCACTACACTCCAGTCTAGGTGACAGAGTGAGACTCCAACTCAAAAAAAAAAAAAAATTAATTTGTAAAAATCATCAACTTACTGTATTATTGATACAATATTGATAAATTAAAAACACATCACTCTTTAAGGAGTTAAAAACATTTTAATTGCATTGTTAACCAGAAAAAAGAATAGAAAACTTCAGGAATTAGACAGTTTCATACTCTAGGTCCAACTTTTTTTGACTAATTATCAAGAAATGTTTGGAACTTTAAGCAGGTTCTCTTAATTTTTTCTGGAGGGAAGGGTTGAGCAGTACTGGCAGCCAGATTGAAAATGGTGAAAAAACATTATGGAAAAACAGAAAAATCAAAAAACATTACTATTTGTCAAAGAAAAAGAATATAAAAAATTTAATTTTTTTTCCTCAACTTTCATTCTCCTCTCTCTACCAATACAATATCTGTTAAAATGTTAGTACCACAGAAACCAGATCTTAAAATAATGTGTTCAAGAGTACATATTTATTATCAACAGATGACTAAAGTATTGTTCATATTTTCCATAGTAGATGTTTTTCAACAGCATTAGGCCTTCCAAATTATATTCCATCTGCACTCGTGTGTGACCTGGCACAGAATGTGTAGATACTAGGTCATTTGAGTTGACATCTCCTAAATGGGAAGTGGTTCATCTCTCTCTCTCAAAATCAAAACTATAACCTCTAGTGCTAGTATCTAGGAATATAGTGTTTTAATATGTGACTCCTAAAACTATACTGTTTATAAATCATAGCTCTTTGGTATGAATTCTAAAATTCCAAAAGAGGGCAAACTCAGCTATTTTAAATAAACCTAAAATATATGCAATTGTAATCCCAGTCTTCTGTGAATCACAAGAACATAGAAATAGTTTTAAATCTTTACTACGATGATATGCAACATGAAAATCTACTTGCTAAATAGGCATTTTCATATAACCTTGCCTGCAGTTCAGATTTAATGTACATAGGAAATAGATCAAAATTATAATTTTACATATTATGTTAATTCAAGATTCAAAAAATGGTAAAAATAAATTCTGTTCTGTGTTCAAAAGTGTAATGCAAATCATTCCCTATTCATTTATTCTCATAAGAAAGACAGATCAAGTATAGTATCAAATAGGGATCAAGAGAAAGACAAAGTGACCAGGTAATAGAAAACAAAGCAAATAAGAAAATACAATACTTTGGGAAGCTGAGGCAGAAATATTGCTTGAACCCAAGAGTTAGAGACCAGGCTAGGCACTGTGCCAAGACTTCATCTCTACCAAACAAACAAACAAAAAACTAGTGGGGTGTGGTGACACACACCTGTAGAAAAAGAATGGAGGGGGGGAAAAAAGGAAGGCTGGAGAGAAAAGAATATCCAGGAGAATTGAGTTAAAAAGTAAAAATTATCATCAGCCTCATTATTTTGAATTGAGCTATCACTCCGTTGTCCAGGCTGGACTCAGGTGACCCTTTTACCTCAGCTTCCCAAGTAACTGTGACTACAAGTGTGTGACACCACATCCAGCTAATTTTTTTGTTTGTTTGTTTGATTTTTTTTATAGCAATGAGGTCTTTTTATGTTGTCTAGACTGGTCTCCAACCCTTGGGCAAAAGCAATCCTCCCGTCTCAGCTTCCTAAAATGCTGGGATTACAGTCATGAGTCACAATGCCTGGTCATTTTTTTTTTTCAAGACAGGTTGAGTGTGGTGATCCATGCCCATAATCCCAGCACTTTAGAAGGCCAAGGCGAGAGGATCACCTGAGTTCAAGATCAGTCTTGGCAACAGAGCTAGATGCTATCTTTATAAAATATCAAATACAATTCTATCCTTGCCTTAGAGGTTGTTAATATGACTGAAGATGAAAGAAAAATAAATAAATAATCTTATAAGAAAAACGATACCATTTTAAAGTATTGTTATGATGACAAAATGGAACCAACCTAAAAATGATAATTTAATGGTAAGAGAAAAGAAAGCTTGATTAAAAGTCTTAATTTTAAGTTGCAATACAGCTGATATATACCATTGGTAACTCTTTTCAACACCTCTTTAGACCCCAGCTTCTATAAAATAGCAAGCTAGAACAAGATGATTATTAAGGTGCCTCAAAGATGTACTAAAATGAATTCATTTTTCACCCTCATTGGCAAGAAAATGCATTATTTCTAATTTCGGAGTCTATACTATGAGATGAATTCGAGTGAGTGATTACAGGAGAAATTGAAACTAATCTTGCAATATGTTGGAATTCAAAGCTTTAGATAAATCACAAATTTACTTTATTAATATGGAGTACAATTTTCATGTTATATTTTGGCATTAAATAGAGTACATAGGAAATATTACATATATATTTTTCAAGAGCCCCTTGGATCTCATTTCAGGCCAGAGTTTCAACATATATTTTAAATCAAGATGATTTCTTCCAAATATTCTTAGGTTAAAAAAAAGCAAGATGGACAGTAAATATATGTGATGATCCACTTTCTTGCTCCCATTTTGTACAGTATAAAATCCCCTCTGGGGGGAACCCCTTCAGCTCCCATCCCACTGTGGGAGCTTCTCTGTCCTCTCAATAAATTCTGCTATCTTTAAAAAAAAAATACCCTCTGAAAGTCAGTACTTACCACAACAGCAAACTGCTCGGGTTCACTTAAGTTGTTATATTCACTCTTGAACTGAGACAATGAATTTAATTGCTCTTGATCAGGAAGATGCTTTATTAAGTTCTAAAAATTAAAACCAAAAGAAAATATATTCACTAAATGTACTTCTCAAATTAAAAAATAGTAATTACTGAACTATGAGAAGAAAACCAGTGAAGTTAATCTTTAGTTTTATTTCTAGGTAACTTCCCTCATACTAAGCCGTAAGGACCATGCCTGCATCTTGAAAACAGTCACTTTTCCTTTTCTCTATCTCAGAGTTATTATATATTCAAATCAAGCACTACTGAATGTTTATTTGATTAGTTATATAATTGAGAAAGAGAATGCAACCTATACCGAAGGAACAGCTTTTTCACCTGGATAAAAGTGATCCATTACATTTCAGCTTTAGGGAAAAAAATGTCAGAAATTTCAGGCAAAGCCTAACATATTTTAACACTTCACTCAATGGGATAAAAGAAATCATCATATTCCTACTTAAAGGTAAGGAAAAGAATGGAAAAGAAATCAAGGAATTTTAATGGCAATGTTTGCAAGATTTATCCAACAGGATTATAGTCTTAAGAGAAAAAACTGAAGATGTCTCTAAAACAAAGTAACTTTTTTGATCTGAAATAAAATTCTAAAAGGCACTGAAGACACAGGATGATATCTTGCAGATAAAAAGCATGTAAAGAGATCCCTCAGTGACCGGTGCTCACAATACCAAATTATAACATCAGTAAATAGTGCACAAGCCCAAAGTCAAGTACAAATTATAGTTAAGGTGACATCATGCTTTGTATATTTATGGGAGAAAAAATTCCCCAATGGTGTTATTAGTTAAAAACAGTGTTAGACAATGTTATATATCAGAACCAGTTATATCAAAGAACAAGTTACTGACTCACTGTGTACCTTTGGACAAAAACATTGCTGACTAGTCAAAAACAACCAAAAAAGTGGCAAATTTAAGATCATCCTAGAACAAATATTTACTATCAATACTACCAGATTGAATAAAGACAATAAAAGCATATGATTTTCCAACATACACAGAAATTTCTCTTAGTGGCATTTATATTTTTATATATTAATTATTAGTGGCAATTATATTTATATTATACTATATTTATATTTTCTCTTAACCATTCTAGTTAAGAGAAGGCTTGTCTGAGTTATTTATTACATCAGGCCACTGAATTTCTTTAGCAACTTGTTAGATAACGATCAAATTCCTCTAAATATTTTTAGTTACTAAGTAGATTTTAAGCTTTCATCAAAAATTTTTAAAATTTTTACTTCATTAGTTTTGCGTTCTAATGTAAAATTATTATTGTGATTTGTAAGCGTACAGGCCCTTCCTTTGTCTCTCCTCTCACCAAATTTCCCATATGCTTTATAAATCTTAAACTTCTGTCAAGTTGAATTCTACACAGTTATCCACACATACTCAACTTTTCTTTCAATGCTCATAGTATTATTACTGCAAGAACAGTTGCTTTTCACTACACTTGTCATACAGTCCTCCTGTCCTTTTCCATATCCACAGCTACTCAGCCTTCAAGTACTCTTGCCTAGACACACACACACATACACACACAGCACTCCCCCAATGCATTCTCTAGTTCTAAAACCATCTTAAAATGTTTCACCATCTTGTATCATAATTACGTATATAAGTGTCATTTCCTTTGCTGAACTAAAAATTCTAAGAAGGTGGAGTCTACCTCTTACTGAGACTAATACAATGCCCTGAACATGGTACGTAAGATATTTGTAAAATGAATTAATAAAAGACTAATGTGACTAAGGTAATTGGGTTAAAAAAAAAGTAATAAAATGACATTAAAATGGCAATAAGAATGACGTACTGCTGACCTCTTGTTATGTATGAATAAACAACTAAATTGGCCAAAATAAAATCATAACAGTAAACAGAGCCAATTAAAATGATGAGTAATACAACACAATGCTGTATTTCCACGTTCTATTCAAAATAGAAAGTTTCTTACAGTAAAATCAGGAAGATACTTTTAAAATTAAAAATAAGAATTGAAACGCCATAAAACATTTTTTTAAATGAATATATGAAAAACGTATTTATGTACAAAATAAATGTTTAGGTTTTAAATGCATAAAACTGGTTTCATATTTAGTAAGACATAATAATGAGCTCCAGATGTATATGTCAAATCCCCAAAACTATAAAAATATTAGGTTACATGGCAAAGGGAATTAAGGTTACAACTGGAATTAAAGCTGCTATCAGCTGACCTTAAATTAAGATTATTATCCTGGATTACCAGGGTGTGCCCAATGTAATCAAAAGGTCCCTAAAAGCAGAAGAGAAAAACAGAGCAATAGAGTGAGAAGGATGTGACTATGAAAAAAGTGAACAGAAGGACGCAACATTGCTGGCTTGAAAGATGAACAGGGTCCATGAGTCGTGAAAGTGGGCAGCCATGAAAAGCTGGAAAAGACAAAGAAACCGCTCTTCCCTAGAGTGTCCAGAAAGAACACAGGGCTCTCTACAACAGCCTGACTGCAGACAGTGAGACAGATGTCAAACTTCTGTTATGCAAAGATGTACGATAATAAATTGGTGGAATTTTAAGCCAGTAAGTTTTTGGTGGTTGTTACAGTAGCGATAGGAAACTAATACACTGAGAAATATACAGAGCCTAGTGTTCTTTACACAGGAACTTAAAAAAAATAGATCATCTTTTATCTAGTAGGCAAAAACCACACAATCATCTAAAACATTCATGAAATCAAGGTGAAAGTTACTCTGTAAATATTTAACAAATTCATTATTAGAAATACATGTATTAAGTTAAAAAATACATGTATCAAGCAAAAAAAATTTCTTTAAGAAACTTGGACTCTATTCCCTGCAAGAAGACACATATACAATCAGTAAGAACAAAGATAAAAATTTCAGTTAAAAAAAAAAAAAAACTGTGAAAGGGGAAAAAAAAAAACCTTAGAGAAGTGTTGTTAATTAAATAGTTTATGAGTCTCAGAGACTCGCAGCACAAATCATTAATGAAGTTATAGTACCACCACATTTAGAAGACAAGATAGGAAAGGCAAAACAGAATAACCTCTAGAGATACCATTTATCGATGAGTTAAAATTTCTAAAATAATTTTAAATGCTTTTTGACAAAGAATTCACAATTAATCAATAATATTTAGTTTCTTTCTAATGCTAAAAAAAAACCAAAAAAAACCCCATTTTTCTAAGGATATCCATTATCAAAACAAAAGATGTTAAACAGAAGATATTCTCTCACTATCTAATTTGTGTTTTGACTCCCCAACTTTAAATTCTATCAAGATTTATATTATTGATCCCTTACATGGAATTGATCCCTTACATGGAATTCAACAAGTAACTTTGATATCATAATAGCATTAAAAAATACTATAAATAAAAACCACTTAAAAATTCTTCTAGTTTTCTGAATAAATTCAGAACACTATACAAACAATCTCTAATACTCATAGAAGCGCAAATAACTCAAGTAAGGATTGCTGGTAAAGATAAATCTAAATGAAAAGTCACTCAGTCTTCTATACCAAATAGTGATATAACATTATAATTCTAAGAAAAACACATTCTAAAACTGCAATAGAAACAAATTTAAATTAACATATTACTAGTCTAAACTGCAACAAAAAACAAAAATGTAAACTTAAACAATTTCCTTTTCAAAGAAAGTCACTTAAAATATTTAAAATGTAATTATTTTGATAGCATTATATTTAGTTTGCAGTTAAGGGAAGATTTCGGTTTCTCTCCTGGCAATGCAGTAGTTATGCTAAAACTAATTATGCAGCAATGATTTTCCAGTTGAATGATTTGGGTAAAGAATTTTGCTTCACTTACAGATTTCTATTTAATGAGAAGCTTGCAATGAAATATTGGAATTTAAGCTGTGCCTGTTTGTTTACCTGAATCATAGACTCTGCCAACCGTGTTTCATCTACTTCCAATATCATCATTTTGATTTCCTCATATGGCACCCGAAAAGAGCTCAGGAAGATTGCTGAGAGAGAAAAAAAGCTTTATAATGAATATGATAAGAAAAGAATTTGAGATGTAGTTCTATTTATAAAATCAAAAAATAAATTCATAAAACAAGAGAACTTAAGCATTTAATATAACTACTGTGGGGGAAACTTTAATTAGCACATTTTATATTCTTCTATGGTTTTAGAACTAGTATTTAAATAGCAATTCCATATTATTATGCGAATCCAAGGTTGATTTTTAAATGTTTAGCTATTGGTCTATAATAAGAATGTTGCCAGTTTTCACGTGATCTAAAAAATATAAAATAAGTTAGGTACACTATAAAACAACACACTGTGATAAAAAGAATGATGAAGCCACAGTACATGCATGTAATATATGTTTGAACATGTGTTATTTGCTTATGTATGTCCCAGCCTTACTAAATAGTTTGGAAAACAAATACTTTAATAAAACTGCTAAGCAGTACATTAAAACATTTACAAGTAATAGTAGCACTTTACTATTCAGAAACACTGTAGACAACATGCTAGAGAAATCACCTTTACATGCAACTAAAGCTTAAAATATTCAATTTTAGAAAACAAATCTCCATGGAAAATTATCTAAATGTACCTCAGACAGGAAAATATGCTATTACTGAGAATTCCAAACACTATTTATATTTTTCTCAATACCTCAGATATCTACTGTTATAATGATTTTCTCAAAAGTTATTGAGGTACATAAGGGTAATATAATAATGCTTTTTACAAGTTTCCCCTTTATTCTATGAGTATTAAGTTTCTGTGTTCAAGATAATGTTAATTCCTTAACATTAAGCACCTCCAAACCAATAGCCAATTGTTTCTTTTTTATTTAATGAACTTGTTATGTCATCTAGTACATGGGTACTTCCATACAAAGATACTGCATTCAAGCCCACCACTCCATACATCCACCGATTCAGCCAACTAAGGATCAAACTCAATCTGTTATAAGTGGAATCTAAGGATATAGTACCTGCAAATATGAAAACCAACTATAAGGAAATTTAGCATCTATAAGGAAATTATAGATTTAGCATCTATAAGGAAATTAAGGATTTTGGTAACGAGTAGAGGTCCTGGAACCAATCACCCCAGATACCAAAGAATACATGTATTTTTTATAAAACTTAGGAAACAAAATCTGCTTATTTTGTGGACTAAGGGTATGTTCTTGATTCTCGAGGACATCATGTATCATCTATAGATAAGCAAAAGTACCATCAGTTTGCATATCACCAATCCATACCTTTCTGTACCCAAAAGTTATGAGATAATTAGACTAGAATTTACAGATGTTTGTAATAGTTAATATCTCAAGAACAAGAAGGGGGAAAAAAAACAAATCCAGGTGATACAATAGAGATTTATGAAACTACAAAAGATAACTCTGCAGTAGACACTAGAAAGCACAAAAGTATAACAACTGAAGATGGTAAGTAAGACTCTCCAGTAATTATCTGTCCCCCACAGAAAAGTGAATTTGAACAACTATCCACACATGAAAATGCGTCAACTGAGAGAAAATAAAGTGAGAATCACAGTTCTTGTTATAGCATAATACTAAAGAAAGATGCATTGAATATGTAAAAACAAAAAATTACGAACACATATAACCCCTCACCCACAACCCCAGGCAAAACAGCATAAAAAGAGATACTGCTCACTTAGGAAAAAGAGAGGGAAGTGAATGTAGAACTTTTACTTTGTTCCAAACAATGAACCTCCCACTGTAAAAACCCTCATGTCCCTCGTTTCCAGACCAGTACATGCAATCTGAGGATTTAGACTTATGTTGGTACCAGACAAGAACCCATTGGTACTGTGAGAAAAATTTGAGTTCTGGCCTGCATCACTGTCAGCCAACTGCAGAGACCTTGGCTTACAAACAAAACTAAGCAAAACGAAACTAAGTAGCAGTCAGGTCACAGAGGTCATGAACTTTTGGTGTCACTCAGTACTGTAACAGCATCAGGGACCATGGGAGTCTGACACTAGGCCAGACTCAGAGGCCACAAATTCTACCATAGGCCACACTGGGTGTGAACTTCTGGGCTTACAGTACTCCCTAGCAATGCAGAGTCAGGAACAATCTACACCCTATGGTCTAGTCAGAAACCATGGACAAACTCACTGTTGAAAGATGTTCTAAAACAAAGACAGACTGAAGAATGGATGAAATGTCCACTTATCCAATGTGCAGACAGCAACATATGACCACAGTGATCAAGGACCATCAGAGAAACATAATGACACCAAAGGGAAAAATGAGGTACCAGTGATATATGCTAGAGATAGATGTATAAACTGCCTGACAAAAATTCAAAATAGTGGTTTTAAGAGAACTCAGTGAGCTTCAAGAAAGTCCAATAAAAATTCAGTACTTTATAAAAGAAATTTAACAAAGACACTGAAGTAATTTTTAAAAGTTAAATAGAAATACTAGAGCTGAAAAATATGATGAACAAAATGAAAAACTGCAATAGAGAATATCAACTGTAGGCCTGATCAACCAGAAAAAAAAAAATCTGTAAATTCAAAGACAGGTTATTTGAAAATATCAACATGAAAAGATAAAAACAAATAAAAAGGTATGAATAAGCTTGTAAAATTTCTGGTACAGTATTAACATATAAAAAATATGTGTCACTGGGGTTTGACAGAGTAGACAAAGGGGTAGAAGGGTTATTTAAAGAAATAATAGTAGTAAACTTTTTAAACCAGGGAAAAAATATAAATATCCAGGTACAGGAAGGTGAACGGTTTCCAATAAGATTCAATACAAATATGACTCTAACCCACAACATATAATAATTAAAGTGTTAAAGATAAAGACAAAGAGAGGATCCTGAAAGCACAAGAATAAAAGGGGGGGGGGAACAACACACAAAGAATTCCAACACACAAAAGAGTTCTTTTAGAACTCTTTTTTAAGCAAACTTCTTAGAAACCTTACAGACTAGTAGAGGGCAGGATGGTATTTTCAAATGAAGAAAAAAACAATTTCCAACCAATAGAATCCTATAACAAAAAAAAAAATCTGTCCTTCAGAAATAAAAGAGAGATAAAGAGTTTCCTAGGCAAACAAAGGCTGAGGATTTTCACCACCACCAGTCCTGTCTTAAAAGATTTGCTAAATAAAGTTCTTCAAGCTGAAAAAAAAGAAAGATAATGAATAACACAAAAACATCTAAACGTAAATTCACTGGTAAAAGTAACTATAGTCAAATTTTGAGTATTCTAATAGTGCAATGGTGGTATGTAAGTCACTTGTATCTTTCATAGGAGGAACAGAGGACAAAACTACTAAAACTCATAATTACTACAATATTGAAGTATAAGAAATATGCAATACACAAAGATGTGAATTATGACATCAAAATTAAAATATAAAGGATATAGCAGAACTAAAGTGTAGAGGTTTCTTTTATAACTAAGGGTAGGTTGTTATCAGCTTAAAGTAACATGCTTTAACAATAAAATATTTTTAGTTAGCTTCATGGTCCACCCTAAATGCAATAAAAATCCAAAAGAAAATATCAAAATATATTACTACAAAGGAAATAACAGAGTGAAGAAACAATCTGCCGAGAGAAAATATTTTCAAACTATACATATAATGAGTTAACATCCAAAATATATCAAAAACTCAAACAACAATAGCAAGATAATACACAATCAGATTAAAAATTGGCAAAAAAAAACCCCTAAAAAGATGTTTCTTAAATAAGACATACAAACGGCCAACAGGTATATGAAAAAAATGTTTAACATCTCTAATCATCGGGGAAATGCAAACCAAAACTATAATGAAATACACTTCACCCCATTAGAATTGCTATTATAAAAAAAGACAAATGATAAGTATTGGAGAAGATGTGGAGAAAAAGGAACTCTCATACACACGTCGGTGTGAATGTAAAGTAGTATAGCCATTATGGAAGACAGCGTGGAGTTTCACAGCATCTCAAAATGGAATCACCATATGATTCAGCAATTGCACTACTGTGTATAAACTCGCAAAAAAATGGAATCAACCTAAGTGGCCATCAACAAATGACTGGATAAAAATGTGACATATATACACACTAAAATAGTATTTAGTCATTTTTTTTTTAATTCTATAATTTAAAACAGCATGGATGAACTCAGAGGACATTATGTTAAGTAAGAAAGACTAGGAAAAGAAAAACAAATACTAAATGATCTCACATATGTACAGAATCTAAAAAAATTGATCTCATAGAATTGGGGGATAGAATAGTGCTTACCAGAGGCACGGGTAGCTAGTGCAGAGTGGGGTGGGGAGATGTTGGCCAAAGGCTATATTAGTTAAAGTTAAGAAGGAGGACTAAGTTCAAGAGATCCATTGTATAGTACAGTAAGTTCAAGTGATCCATTGTATAAGCACAATATATTGTATGAGGGGGACCGTAAAAAATGAAATTGTTTTTTTGGCGGGCCGGCCCCTTGTTGTATAGTCTCCCCCACTAGGTGAGTGTTCTAGGAACCCACTGGCATCATGTACAAGCTAGCATTGTTGTGAGAGGCTGCATTCTGCTTCAGTGAATTTTTTTTGAGAGATTCTTTTGGTGTGTTTGCCCGTTTCATGATGGGTGATTTGTGAGCACACCTGCCCACACCATGCTGAGTGTTCAGTAGTTTTTGGCCAAAAATGGCATGACTCCTGTGTCCCCACCTCTGTATTTACCCAACCGCATCCTGAGCGACCTTTTGTGTCCCCAGGTTAAAAAAAGGCCTCAAAGGGAAAAGTTTTGCTGATGTGGAATACGTGAAACAAAAAACGGCAGAAGCACTTAAAGGGCATCAAAATTAACGAGTTCAAAAACTGTTTTGAGCAGTGAAAAAAGCCTATTGATAAGTGTATTGCATCCAAAAGAGAATACTTTGAAGGTTAAACATGTAAGAATAAATACACAATTTTTTATAAATAACTTCTCCTTTGGGAGGGTGCCCCAACATATTTGTGAAAAATGTAGTAAATGTAAGTGTTCATATCACAAAAATAATTAAATGAATTGCTAATTAGCTAGATTTATCATTGCACAATGTATATTCAAAATATCATACTGTACATGATAAATACATAAGATTTTATTTGTCAATTTTTTAAATTGTGGTAAGGCATAAGGGGAATAAATTTATACATACTGTATAAGTATTGACGTTTAACCACACAAAAAGTTGATTATTAAATATTAGCTAAATTAATATATATGAACGCCCTGACCTGAGGTTCAAGATAAATTTACTTCTCACAGGAAAGGGGATAAATTGGAAAGGGTCATATACAGTGTAAATGCGTTAGTAGTGTTAATGTTTTTCTTTAGCTATGGGTGTTTGATTTTTTATTATTAAACTGTACCATGTATTTTATAAGTCTCTCATACATTTAATATATATCATAACAAAATAACTAAAATAATTCCAAATGTGCCGCAATCCCAGCATTTTGGGAGGCCATGGCAGGAGGATCAATGTGTTCAAGACCACCCTGGGCAATACGGCAAGATACCAACACATCAACAAAAAAAAAAAATCAGCTGGGCAGGAGGATAGCTTGAGCCCAGGAGTTCAAGGGTGCAATGAATTATGATTGTGCCACTATACTCCAGCATAAGTGACAAAGCAAGACTGTCTTCAAAAGAAAAAAAAAAATGAATAATAAGAAAAGAAAATACGTAAAATAAAAGTGTGATACTATGAGGTAAAGGATTAATCTTACTCAAGTGAGGTGTGACCTTTCCCCTTAGGTCCTGTGAGGTACTCCCTAAACCCTAGGAATGTCCTTCCTGTTGGAAGTGTCTTTGTTCATGTGGGGCTATAAGACCACAGCAGATATTCTGTACTAACAACATGCTTTATGGTGGGACTTTGGGCCACACATTATCAGCTCCATCTCTAGAGGGGCTGGAAACTAAGGTCCATAATGAGGTGGTTCAGTCAAGACCAAGTTCCCAAAAAAACCTCTGAACACAAGGCTCAGGTGAGCTTCCATGTTGCTAAGACTTTCTATTGTTATATATTATTGCCTAGATGTTAGTATTGCCTATAATTCCACTGGGAAAAGAAAATAGGAAAGTTACTGCTTGAAACTCTCCAGGACTCAGACCATTCACTTTTTCCTTTAACTGATTTTAATCTACCATTTTGCTGTAATTAAACCATAACCATAAGTAAAACAGCTTCAGTGTGTTCTGTAAGTCCTTTTAACAAATTATCAAAACTGAGAGTGATCTTGGGGAGCTCTAGGCTTGCAACTAGTATCAGAAATGAAGATGGTACTATGGACCCCCTAACTTTACAGATTAAAAACTGCATGATTTCACTTACACAATTATGCAAGTAAATCATAAGATGCACATACAAACAGATAATATACATAATAACAAATAAAGTAATATAAATAATAAATGCAAGAAAAGACACCATGTCAATAGTAGAATTTGCTTTGCAGATGGAGATAAAAGTCTTTTATTTTTGCCTATATTTGTCATTTGCTCAATACTTTCAGGTATTATTCTATAATTAAAGTAGCACATACTATTAAACACATATTTATAAAGATCAGACTAGGGTTTTTATAGTTTATGAATAATTTTGTTTGAAAGGTATTTTCTATAAAAACCAAGTGCAAAAAATTTACAGAAGTGTTGAGATGACCTAATGTCTAACAGGCAAATCAAAAGACAAATATACATCTTATTTTGTGAATACTTGAAAGTTACTGAGAATACAAGATAATCAAGTAAAGTCTCCCAAAGACCAATTCAAATGAATCTTTTTACTAACATATATCTTATCCTTCAGAAGATGGCTATACAGATCCCAGAAAGAAGCTTTGGGTACAGTTAAATAGTATAAAATGTGCAGATTTTAGAACCAGTTATGCTTCTTTTGTATGAGGAAATTTACAAATATTTAAACCTTTACAATAGATTGTAGATTCCAAAATTCCTCCTTTTACAGCTCTAACAGCCAATGAAAACAAATTTGATAAAATGCATGAATTTTATAAAACTTCTGAGCCTTCTCTCGATCCAAAAAAAGCTCTAAATTCTATCCTTAATGATTAGCCCAGAGTCTGATCAAAAAGTGAACTTATGACCTCAAAATAAAAGAAAATCAAAACCACCTTTAAATAAATGGGTAAATAAATGAGTGGCTTTAAAATCCTTTCCTCAAAATTCTTTAGAATATTTCAATTAAGAGAAAGCTATAAGATGTTATCTAGTACAGACCCCAAATGTCTCTTTAATAAACTCTAGAAGCAGATCTATTTTAGTGTCAATATTCTACTGACCACTGTTTTACTTCAGTTTATCTCATTCAAAAACGGTTCTCATTAACTAAGACTCCATTTAGAATTCTGAATCTCAAAACTCTTAATTTCATACACAAAAACCAACTGTGAATCAAACGACAATTATAGTAGACTATAGGCTGCTCATGCTTCTTAAAGCATAAATCATAATACTTGCTACAATCAGAGAAGTCAAGTATAATCCTAAAATGGATTATAACATAATATGATATGGCATAAATTATCTTTGATCTTATAATTTAAACATGTTCCTCATTTAAATGAATGGGATATATATCCTTTAGCTAAAGCAAACAAAACAAACAGAATCCTTCTCCAGGATAATAATGTCACTTTCTTATCTGTAAACAGGAATAGATATACATTATATCTATTGGCTATTTTCAAAATGAGCAACCTCATTCAAGTCACTTGATTGCTATACCAACCAGCTTCCCTACCTATCCTATCAATGCTAATACTTACCTGACATGGCTATAATAAAGATTAAAGGGACAAATACCGAACTAGCACACAAAAGTAATTAGTATCTATTAACTTTTTCAATTAAATTTTAAATCCTATTTTAGCATGTGTCCTATAATGTACATAAAAAAATAACTGTCAAAAAGTTAATTATTCAACCCTGAGATAGACATTTAGGCTAACTTATTGTGCCTGACTCATACAGGAAAAATTCTATTTAACAATTTATTTCTTCAAGAACCATATCAAGTTCGTTTAAAGTAAAGGCTGGTAATTTTTTTTTTTTTTCTTGAGTTGGAGTCTCACTCTGTCGCCCAGACTGGAGTGCAGTGGCCGCTCCCGGCAACCACAGCCTCGCCTGCTGGGCTCCGGTAATCCTTCCGCCTCAGCCTTCCAAGCAACTGGAACTACAGGCGCGCACTACCACGCCTGGCTTATTTTTTTTTATTTATTGTGGAAACGAGGTCTCGCCAAGTTGCCCAGGCAGGTCTCGAACCCACAGGCTCAGGCAATCTACTCACCTCAGCCTCCCAAAGGCGCAGGATTACAGGCTGAGCCACCGAGCCCGGCTAGGGCTGGTAATTTGTAATGTAGGTCATGGACATTTTCAAAACAAAATCATCTCTTTTAGATCACAGAGTACAGAACTTTTTGACATGATCTAAGTTAATGATACAGTGCTTTGAATTGAGACAAAGTTCTTTCAGAGGGTAAAATTCCCTGACATATATGCATCATGTGAGAAAAAAAAAATCTCAGGTGAAAGCATACCCAAAAAGTTATTTCCAGTTAAGACCACATGTTCATCACACATCAGAAAGGCAAGGCTCTGTTAATGATGATCCTTGTATCCAGATGACGGATACTACTCTGACTCCCATTCTGGGGCCAGAGAAAAAGGAACCACTGGATCTTCTCTCATTACCAGTTAAATGCTTCGACACTAAAGTGACATCACTTTTACTCCATCCTTATTGGCCCAAGTATGTCACTCCTAACTTAAAAGGGTCAGGGATGTGCAAACAACTGTGCTCAGAAATAGAGAACTAAATACTGGCTGACAGCACCAATGCCTCCATGCTATCCAACATTGTAGAAAGGCATAGGCTTCTGCCATGGTGACTATGAAGGCAAGGTTCCAAAACATTCACAAAAGAAATGCCAACTCTATCTTTTGGACATACTGCTTCTAACACAACTCCCTCTTTAATCGATAGCATGAACTTTTATCCTCTCACTGGAGAATTGCTTTGTTCCAATACTTACTAAAAGCTGACCTGAGGCATATAGTACTTGAGAGATAGACTAAGAACCATGTTAACTCTTCATTGCTTTGGAGTCTCTACATCATTTATATCCCTCTAGCATCACTGGAAAGTAATATATACAGATCATGCTATCTATGCTCCAAGCAAAACTAGCTTTGATACAGTTAAAAAGCAGAAACGAGTCAGGAATAAAAACTGTTTGCCCTCTTCTCTTACAATAATTCAGCCAGAAAGACAATTCAATACTGAGTATTTAGTTTCTACAATAGTAATTAAATCTAAGATATGTCCAGTAAGAACTTTTGAACTGTTCAGATGGAATAATTGAATTCATTTACCCATCTTCCTTACTTTATCAATATTCTAACCTCTTCCATGCATGATAAAGGACCACAAATAATAGAGACTCAGAATTATAAATAAACTAGCATCCTACCAATTTATTTCAAAACATAATTTCATTACCTAAGTCTCTTAAATATTTTTACACTTAAAAAAGACTTTAAAGGATAGTTCTCTTTTCACTTATGGTAGATAGGGTTTCACTCTAAATTTTTTATATATTTTTTCTAATATGCATTTATCTTGTGAAATATTTAATCCCATAATTTGCTTAAAGAGTTACTTTTAAATTTGTCATGCAAATACTAATAAAATTAAAACAACATAAAATCGAAAATCATAAAGAAAATGAAATCATTTTTTAAAAAAACACCTCCAGTGTTCTCTGATAACTTAATAGCATTGAAAAATGATACTTACAAAGGTTCTGGGCAATTTTAGAATCTAGAAACTTAAGTTCCTTAATTCTTTTCTTAATACCTTTCTTCTCTTCAAAATCTTCCTCTTCTCGTCTCTCTATGAAACCAAAAACAAATACATGTCAGAGGCAGTAAGCTATTCAAGTACAAAAGAGCAGGAAGTAAACTTTCTATCATCAAACAAGCAAAAAAAGATACAGATTTTCTAAATCACACAGTTACAAAAATAGTAACAGTTAAAAGCTATTTCAGATAGGTACTGATGATCTTTATGCTAAAAAAGAATTACTAAGAGTAAATATTTGAAGTTCTAAAAAAAAAGATAAAAAATAAAACTTATGTACAAATAACAGAAGCCAATACCACTAAGTAAAAAAATATCTGCAGTTAGCTCATTTGAATAGTAGGCAGGACACAATTATAAAAATTAATATACATGCACACAAGGTGAATTAAGAAGATAACTCTAACAGTGCTAATAAAAAACACATTTATGTTTAATATACTATACCATGATTATTTAGAAATGTATCTCATAAAAAACTGAAAGAGTTGTGCTTATATATTTTTGAATGTTGTACCATCCACGCATCCTTGGAATAAATTCCACTTGATCATGGTATATTATCTTTTCTGATGTGCTGTGACATTCAGTTTGATAGCATTTTGCTGAGGATTTTTGCATCTAAGTTTGTCGGGGATACTGGCCTGAAGTTTTCTTTTTTGTTGTGTCTTTGTCAGGTCTTGGTAATGTCTAGGGCAATGTTGGCCTTACAGAATGAGTTAGAAAGAAGTCCCTCCTTTTCATATTTTTGGAATAATTTAAGAAGAATTGGTGTTAGATCTGCTTTAAAAGTTTGGTAGAATTCAACATTGAAGTCACTCAGTCCTGGGCTTTTCTTTCATGGAAGGCTCTTTACTATTGATTCAACTTCAATACTATTTGATGGTCTCTTCAGGCTGTCTATTCTTCCTGATTCAATCTTGGTGGATTATATGGGTCCAGGAATTTGTCCATGTACTCTAGGTTTTCCAGTATGTAGGCATATAGTTTTTCATCAACTGTGCTATCAGTTGTAATGTTTCTCAATTCTGCTTTTACTTATTTGGCTTTTCTCTTTTTTCCTAAATATTTGTAGATTTTATCTTTTCAAAAAGCCAAATTCCTTTTTATTTGATCTTGTGTGTTTGTCTCTATTTCATTTAGTTTTGCTCTGATCTTTATTGTTTCTTTCCTTCTGCTGATTTTGTTTGGTTTGTTTTCTTGCTTTTCTAATTCCTTGAGGTACATAAGTAGGTTATTTGAAATCCTTCTTCTTTTGATTTAGACATTCTTTGCTATAAACTTCCTTCTTACTATTACTTTTTCTATATTCCATAGGTTTTGTATGTTTATATTTCTACTTTCATTTGTTTCAGAATATTTTTTTAATTTCCTTCTTAATTTCTTCACTGACCTATTGGTCATTCAGCAACATGTTGCTTAATTTCCATGTATCTATATAGTTTCCAAAGTTCCTAATTGCTATTGATTTCTAGTTTCCTCCAACTGGGGCTAAAAGACACATCACATGTTTTCAATTTTTTTTAACGTGTTGAGACTTATTTTGTGGCCTAACACGTACTGAAGAGAAAGAATGTGCATTCTGCAGTCATTGGAAACTATGTTCTATAAATGCCTATTAGATCCATTTGGTCCACAGTGCAGTTTAAGTTCGATATTTCTTTGATAATTTTCTGTATAGATATCTGTCCAGTATTGTGAGATGTTGAAGTACTCCAATTAATATTGTACTGGGGTCTATCTCTTTCGATTTAATAGCCTTTGCTTTATTGACCTAGGTGTGGTAGTGTTAAGTGAACATATTTATAATTCTTATATCCTCTTGCCGAATTGGTTCCTTTATCATTATATAATGAACTTCTTGTCTCTTTTTATGGTTTTTGACATAAAGTCTATTTTGCCTGATATAAGTATAGCTATCCCTGCATACTTTTGTTTTCCATTTGTGTAGAATATTTTTTCCATTCCTTCATTTTAAGTCTATGTGTGTCTTTAGATTTAAAGAAGATTCTTATAGGCAGCATATAGTTCGGTGATGTTTCTTCATCCATTCAGTCTACATCTTTTCATTGGAGACTTTAAATTTATAATCGAGGTTATTATTAATGGGTGAACACTTATTTCTGCCATTTAGTTCATTGCTTTTGTATATCCTTTTGCTTTTCTTTCTCTTTTATTATTTTTGCAATTTGTAGTATTTCTGCTGAAATAACATTAGATTCTTTTCTCTTTCTCATTTGTGTATCTGCTTTACAGACAGTTTTAACATTTTCATATGTTTTGCTGATTGTATATATCTTTCTTTCACTTCCAGATGCAGGACTCCTTTAAGCATTTCTTATAGGGCTGCTGTAATGGTGATTAACTGCCTCAGTTTTGCTTGCATGGAAAGATTGAATTTTCACCATATTTCTGAAGAATAAATTTGCTGGTTATAGCATTCTTGACTGCCAGTTTTTTTGTTCAGTTTTTTTAATGTATCATCCAATTATCTTCTGGCCTGCAAGGCTTCAGCTGAGAAATCGGCTTAGTCTGATGAGTCTTGCTCAAATATAACTTAATGCTTTCCTCTTGCTGTTTCTAGAATTCTCTTGTTGTCTTTGACTTTTGACATTGTGAATATAATATGCCTTGAAGAGTACATTTGGAGTTAAATCTATTTGAATCTTTGAGCTTTCTGTTTCTGGATGCCTATTATCTCCTAACACTTGTGAGACATTTTCAATTATTATTTCACTAAATAGGTTTTTTATGCCTTCCCCCATTTCTTCTCCTTCCAGCACTCTCAAAATACAAATATTTGTTCACTTAATGGTGTTCTATGTGTCATGTATACTTTCTTCCCTTTATGTCTGTCTGGATTATTTCAAAAGTCCTGTCTTTAAATTCAGAATATTGTTCTTCTGCTCAGTGTAGTTTGTTGTTAAAGTTCTTCACTGTATTTTTTTAGTCATGGAATTCTTCAGTTTCAGAATATTTGGCTCTTTTTTATGAGATCTACCTCTTCACTGAATTTCTCATTCTGATCATGAATTGTTTTTTATTTCTTTGTATTGTTTGTTTTTCTTTAATCTTGCTGAGTTTCCTTAAGATCAGTGTTTTGAATTTATTGTGTTCCCCTGGAGGTATCACATTCCCTTTCTTTTTAATTTTTCTTGTATGCCTACATTGAAATCTGAAAATCTACTTTAACAATCATTCTTCTGATTCTATGGAGTAGCTTTCCTAAGTTCAGACTTTTTCCTGTAGATATACCTACAGTGTAAAGTGGATGAAACTTTGGCTCTGTGAAGTATCAGTAGTGCGTTCCCCATATGATTTCCTCACCTATAATCACTAGTGTTGTCAGAGATTACCTCAATGGCTTAGGAGATGCAGGGTGGTACCTGGGGTGCCTGCATAGGTGATGACAGTAGCAGTAATGGCCCAGAGGGGCTGGTCCCTAGTTTCCCAGGTAGCATATGTGTGTGTACAGTGGCCTTACTACTCGAGGTGGCCCGGTCATTGTTGGATAAAATTAGGATCTTGATGGGAAAGACTAGTGGGCCAAAGTATTTAGTTATACATATGCAAATAAATCACTAATAACTTTAAAAAGCACACAGAGTCTGGGTGCGGTGGCTCATGTCTATAATCCCAACACTTTGGGAGACCACAGCAGCAAGATTGCTTGAGCCTAGGAGTTCACAATCAGCCTGGGCAACATAGTAAAGTCCATTTCTACAAAAAAAAATGAAAAATCTAGCCAGGCATGTGCACATGTAGACCAGCTACTCAGGAGGCTAAGATGGAAGGATCGCCTGAGTCCAGGAGGTTGAGGCTGCAGTGAGCCATGATCATACATGCCACTAAACTCCAGTCTGGGTGACAGAGTGAGACTCAACTCAAAAATAAACACACAAAAGGCACACAGAACTGACAACTGTTTGTAAAAATCTTCATATGTGTAAGATGGCACATGTGACACATGCTAATTACATTTCTATATCAGAAAGAAGTACAAGTTGAGCATCCCTAATCCAAAAACCCAAAATCCAAAACTTTGAGCACCAAGGTGACACTCAGGCCATGCTGAAAGAAGATGGTCATTTGAGAATTTTAGATTTTAGAGTTTTGGATTAAGAATGCTCAACTGAGCTGGGCACAGCGGCTCAAGTCTGTAATTCCAGCACTTTGGAAAGCCAAGGTGAGAGGATTGTCTGAGCCCCCAGGTTCAAGACCAGTCTGGGAAACTTGGTGAGACCTCATCTCTACAATAAATAAAAAAATTAGCCGGGTGTGGTAGCACACACCTGTAGTTCAGGCTAATTGGAAGGCTGAGGCAAAAGGATCACTTGAGTCCAGTAGGTCGACACTGGGGTGGCCATGAGCATGCCACTGCACTCCAGCATGGAAGATGGAATGAGACTCCGACTCAAAGAAAAAAAAAAAAAACAGAATGCTCAACTGGTAAGTATTATGCAAATATTTTTTTAAAAAATCCAATATCCAAAACAGATCTAGTACTAAGAATTTCAAATAAGGAACACTCAATCTGTACATTATAATTACATGTTTTGGTACATAGTGTGAGGTAAGGATCAAATTTTTCATTTTTCAAAACTTTTATTATTTCTTATCATTTTAATCAATTTTTCCACTTTTCCAAACATTTATTAATTATGTCTTATTTTATAAATAATCAGATTTCTTAAATGATTGTAGGTTGACATTTTCATCCTATATATAGTATCTGTATATACTTAGGTCTATTTTTATGAGCTTCTAATTCTGCTCCATTATTCTCTGAGCTACTCTTATGCAACTATCACCTCGTTTTAAGTACAATAGATTTATGATATACTTTATTCATTGGCTGTTCAAATTATTTCTCCCCATTTCTAAATTTTCTTCTCTTTTCTCATTTATTTTTCCACATGAACTCTAAAAGGTCTGAAAATAAAATCGATTTAAGTTGGATTTGAATTGCAAGGCAACCTTGAACTGTAGAGAGATGTGACATCCTAACAATTTTCAAACTTCCCAATAATGAA